CTCTCGATATAATAAACTCCTTAAAAGAAAAATCTAAATCATTCACTATATCGAGTTTATTAGATATAAAAGGAGCATCTAGTACCAATTAACGTTGTCCTGTTCACGTTCTAAGTTTAAGTTTTAGTAAGCTAAAACTACACCGGTACTGATACTTCACTACATCGAGTTGACGCTATATCAAGAGTCCATTGTTTTTAGTAGAGACTCTATTAACCCGGATACTCGAAAAAAAACACGAATAATAGAATTAATAATAGAATTTGAATACTAAGCGCACGGTTGATCGAATTCCGATTAACAGAATTTCTAAATTCATTTTCCCATTTACGTGTAGAACTTAAAAATATACAAAATAGAAGGAAAGAATTTAAGAATTTTATCCAATTTAATATCGAACTTTAATGTTATTAATTTAAATATATTTATTATTTTTTATTTCGAGACTTTTGCTATAAATAAATATTAAAAGTTTAAAACCGCCGGTTAATTAATTAAATTATTAATATATGAAGGGAGTGGATTTATATATTTTTATGGAAAAAAATTAACATTAGGAGCTTGGAGACGTGACATTTCTTAAATCGATAAATAAAGAAAACATGGAACATAGTTCAAACCAATTTCTCTACTGATTCTATCCGGTTATTTGTGAATAAGTTTTCCATTTTTTTTGCCTTTATTGAATCAATATAAATGCAGGAGAAACAACTAGAAACCATATTCAGGATAAGTCCTACCAATGAATAAAAAATCGATCGCATTCTAGCAAACTATTAGGCAAAAGTTTAGGGATTTTCCTGAAATTTCGCATGATTTTACAGAAAAAAAATCTATCATATATTAATTATTACATACCCAGCCGCGTAATTATTAATCATTTATTAAATTAGGGCCTATACATCTATTATACTAAAATTTACAATGGTTCCTATAAGGAACGAAAGAGTTACAATGGTTTTTGTTACTCTTTCAATTAATAAAAGATAACAGAATTAATTATAATAAGATACCCGCTTGACAGTTTGATTTCCAACACTTGGAAAACTTTTGCTATTTTATTAATTAATAAATTTAATTTACAAGCGCATTAATTTCCAATTAAAAGTAATTAGTTTTTGAACAGATTGAAGCCGAATTTTTCTTTCGTATAAATTTTTAGAAAATTTTTTCTCCCATTTTTTTCTTGGAATGACTTACTCAATCAATTTTTAAATGTTCGCAATGAAATCTTTGTCACTTTAACATTCATCAATCAGATTAATACGAGAGTTAGCCCATTAAATTCTTTTAAAGCCCACTTGAGTAACGTAAAGGTTAATTTAATATCGTTGTTACTCTAAATTATCTTTTTACTTTTTTTAGAAAACTCCTTTAATAATAAACCTTATCAAGCTTTGGTAAGATTTAATTGAGTTTGGGGGCGATTTTTGCGGGCGAAAACCGAAATTATTAACACGGAAATGCATCTTAATCATCCTTAAAATAATATAAATAGTAAAATTTGTGTTGTTTAAATTAAAAAATAAACTTTGTTCGATACAAAATCACTGTTTAAATCTTGGGAGGAGAACAATAAATCTGTTTATTTTAATTAATTATAATCACAGATCCAATTATAGTTAGAGAAAAAGGAAAAGGGAAGAAAAAGAAAAACCAGAAAAGTCAAGTTAATTGAATTTAACAGATATAATAATATATAAAATTAAAAATTGAAAGGGGGGAAGAGAAAAAAAAAGGAAAGGAAGAAAGATTGTAGTGGAAGAAGGCAACAATGCAGATGAAATGTTAATCTAGTAAAATGAAATGATATCAAACAGAAGTTTAATAGTCAATTAATTAGAGCGCTGACAAATCCTTCATTCTACATTCTGATTTGACAGACAGTAATCCAAGATCCCCTCTACAACAATCACTGCGGCAAACACGACACGGCAATTACTGGTGGATTTGTCCGACAACTCTGTCGACGCACCACTGCTGCTACTTCACAAAAACCACCGAAACTTCGGTTCCAAATGCCAAAAAATTACGCTTTTGTCTTTCCTAAAATTCCACCAAAATACCAAGCCGTACGCATTGTGGGGGTCGTCTAAAAATCATCAAACTTCGTTTGTTAAAACACGGTAAAAAAAAACTCTACACCCCTTTCTTCTTGTTTATATTTTTGAAAATTTGAAATAATTTGAAGAAATCGAATGTTTCCTGACTGCTTAAAATGTAACTTGTAAACGTAAATGTAAATGTAATTTACGTATTTCAGACGTCGATAACTTTGAAATGTATTTTTGAGGTTAACATGCATCTTAATTTAAACCTTCTTAAAGAATTGACAATACTTTTCAGTTTTGTATGCTGCACACACGTTTATAAAATTAAATTTAAACAAATCCTTGTACAGCACATGAGCTCTAGACTTGTGGCTCTAAGCTAAAACATATAAGCCCTTCTCTTCCATATAAAATTACGAGGCCCTAAGCTTGTAGCATAAAACCCTAAGCTGTATAGTCTTATAGCGTAAGGCCCTGAGCTGTATCTTGTTAGCTTGCGTGTAAATCCTGCCCTAATTCGATAGCATAAGGCATGTTTTAACAATGTTATAACGTAAGTAACTCTCGCAAGTTAACAATAACTTAAATTGTTCATTAATAAATCATATTTTTCATATAAATTGAAAGCGTTTTTCTTTCTATCCAAGTCCTACAGCGTTACAGACGTATGTATAGAAATTTTAGCTTATTTTTTAAATTATAAACAATATCTAGCTAATTAAAACGAATATAACCGAATTAGATACTCCTTAGCGACGGAGAAATAACAATGTATCAGAGATATTTCCTCGAATAAATCTATAATAAACTAAAATTTAAAGTCCTTTAGGACTGTATAAATTTTATCCTAATTAATTATTATTAAAATAAATAAATATATATATACTTTGAAATTAATTAAAATTACTTTGATTAATTTAATTAATTGTTAACTTTAATTAACGACCCGATTTAATAATGGAAGATAAAAAAAACCACATATCAGAAGAAGGGAAAAAATAAGCAAAAAGATTCATCAATTTAATAAATTATTAATTTTTAAATAATAAAATAATTAATTACATTTTTGATTAAAAAAAAGAAAAAGAAAAATGTATATATTTATGTGTTTGTGTATAAATAAAAGCTTAAGTTTTTATTTTCATTTAAAATAAATTCAATTAAGTTGGTGGAAAATCTCGACAAATTCAAAAAAGTAAAGTAGAGAGCGGAGAATTGGAAAAACCAAGTTAAAAGGTTGGGGAAGAAAAAAAGAATAAAAGGGGGATAGAAAAGAGTGGAAAGGACCTAAACAACCGCAGCTAATTACGAGTTAACAAGTTTTATTTTGCGCAAAACCAATCTTGATAGGTAGAAAACAGAAAACAAGTAAAACTTTCTGTTCACGTCATCTTCAGTGTTTCAGTCAAACATAATCCTATTGCTATAAGTACAACCAAATCAGAGAATATACCTTTATCCGATTAAGTCAATTTACTGAGCACTTCATGCTAATATGATTGCATTGTGAAGTCGACTTAATGAGCCATGTGGATTTCACCAAATCCGATGGGACCAACCAAGGCAATGTGACAACTCGTGTCCAACAAAAGGGACATCTAATTAGTAGCCCCTTAAGCTCTAACCCTTGCTACTACGAGAAAAGAAAGGAAGAAAAAAGAAGAGAGAGAGAGAAGAAAAAAAAACTGCCAACATAAAAAAACAGCATGGACTTTAGGGGGTGGAAGAGAAATCGCTAAAGATAAGGTTGTCAGGCCTTACCTTGGCGATTTCCTTTCCGTATGTCCCCCGTCCCCCCTGTCAACTATGAACTGGTGGATGGTACATCGCCAACTTTTGACGCTAAGCCTATTTGTGAAGATGATCACGTTTGGTTTGGAGTACAGTGACGTTTCGACTTGGCCCTCTTTCTTCCTGCTTGTTGACAGTGCAGCGTTTAAATAGAACGGTTTGGTTTGCCTTAATGTCACTGTCCGTGTTGAGGATCATACTTCTTTTCAAATTGTTGAAATGCTGTCTTCTCGGGTTTGCGGATATCGTTACTTTTTTGCGAGGATATCTCTTATTTTCTTTATTTTTTCCACCTTTGTACTAGGGGATGACTTGTCAAATTTGTCAATGTTTTATACAACTTTTATCTTTCCACGCCGCTGTGTTTTATATTTCGTTCCTTTTTTTCCCTCTGTAAATTTATATTCTATAAACACGCCCGCCATATTACAGCTTGTTACTACAATGAAATTATCCTTATTTGACCTCAAACCCGCGCTCCGACAAGATACGTCACTCCGCAAATCCAGGATTAACTCTCAAACTCCTCTCCGGAATTAAGCTTCAAATTAGCCGAGCAAGTTCATTATAAGTTAAAGGAGAGGAGGAAACAAGAAGAAAATAAAAAAAAGCAATTTAATAAACGATATTTTAGTATTAATTATCGCTAAATAGAATTAGGTGGAAGGTATAAATAATAATCTTGATTTTTCCTTAATTATCTTAAATGCTTGGTTGGATCCCGTCCTTCAGCCAAATTGAATTGTAATCAAATCTCGTCTTGCACCTTGGCAAATGTTATAAATTTCGAAGAAGGGAACGTTCCCCTCGTCAATGGAGCAGACGTCATCGATTTTTCTTCTATGAAATTTCCACCCATTAACCTCTGACCCGCGGTGTGTTACCACGTGTTGGTGGTAAAGCCACAGCTGCACGGCTTCTTTCATCAAACGAATTGTTGATGCGGAGAGAAGATGTATCAAGCGAAAGTAAGTAAATCAATAAATTATATTAGTTTAATATATATAGGCTATATATATATATTTATATTTTTAAAAAAATCATATTTCAACGCGCATTTAGTTCGAATTGCGTTTATCTAATCGATAAAACTTCACTTTATTACAGTTTATCGTACGTACGGACGACGGGATTGGTGGAAACGGCGTTACGTCACCGGCGAGAACCAATGGCGGTAGAGGGATGAGCGAGGGAAGTTAGAGACCAAAAGGTTATTGAAGACAGCTGTGCAGAAATGTGCCACATGCGGACTTAATGGCCAGTTGTCAAACATCAGAAAAGCCCATTCCCTCTCATTCTATCGACGTCATATTGGGATTGAGGAAATGTTCAAACGATTATGAATATATTTCCGGTACAGGTGAGTCGATGTTTCCGTTTCCGGATAGATTTTTTAACCTTTTTAAGGTCATCGAAACGTCCCATAACGTAAATATTTCCATCGTTTACGTAAATTTACACTCGAAATCGGTCACGGTAAACTTTGGAGTGCATTTTACGTGCGCAACATCCGAAATTCGTTAGTTTATCATAGATCCATCCATAGGGATAACCGAGATCACTCATCCTTCAAATTGATTTAAATTATTAAATAACTATAAAAATAAGCAAGAAATTGTTTCTTTATAATCAAAATTTACAAACGTTAAAATTAATTAATATTACTTTTATAATAATATCTCATTAAAATGGGAATTTTTAACTTTAATTGCATCATTAGTATCATAATAATGCTTATGTTTACATTAAAATAATGTTAATTTACTAATTTACTGTTTAGTATGATAGAATTTTAATTAAATATATAAATAGGAGGATTAATTTTTAAGGTTTGCAGTCCTGTCTTTTTATATTATTATTAGGCCTATAAAAATTAATACCGCTTTAAAAGAATAATTATGTTAATGATTCCGAGCGAATTATCTTTATTCTATTGCTTTAATTTTATTAGATGAGCGATAAATATAAAGTCTGGGTTAATAAATTAGAAAAAATGTTGTTTTAAGCAGGTTTAAAGTCGTTTTAGTTGGCGAAAATTATAAAAGGTATAAACTATTTTTCCATAGTCTTAATGTATCATAAGGCATAACTTTAAGACTGTACAGTGCAAGAACACTATGGTAATTTTTTTAAAAACTAAATTTATATAAAATTTAGCCAATGTATTTATTATCTGAAGCTTTATAAATTTCTCAAAAGATATTTTTGAAGCATTTTTTAAAAATATTTATAACACAAAAACCGCTACAAATACTCCACCTTGCTTCAGCCATAAATGATTTCTTATAACAAGAATTCAATTATCTTTGATTTTATATAGTTTAATTGTCTTATTTAAGTGGTAATTATCGTAGAATTGCATTTAATTTTAGGAAATATTAAAGAAATATAAGCCCAATATTGGCTACAAAAATTAGTTTAAGCATGAAGTAACTTATTTTAAATTCTTTTTAATAATTAATTGTAATTATAAGTATATAAAAGCTCATTTTCCTCTTTTTTTTAAGATTTTAGTATAATTATTTGCGATAATTTCGAGAGAAAGAGACATTTATGAACCGATATAGGCCTATAACTTATATATTCTATATTTTTTTACTTATATTCGCTTACAAATTTAATTAATAAATATGTAGAATATCAACAAGTAGTATTGTCAATTATAAGTTTATCGAGGGCGGATGCGAAGGATAATTGAAGTAATTACTACTTGTAACGAGTAAATACACGCTGATAATGGAAAATAATTGCAGAAATCTCGATTTACACTTCATTTAATTAAAAATAATTAATATATAGATGCAAAATTCTTAAGCATTCGTTTATTTTTCAACTCAAACTGAAGACCTTCCCAAGTCAAAGAGTGGATTAAGCACTGGGTTTAACGCCTCTGAAATCTTAATTATTCAAGACAAAAGTTGGATTTGTGCGTTAATTTAAATATATACGTTAGCTAAAAAGATGCCAGAGCAATAATTTGAAAATAAATTTAAAAATTTTAATAGAATTTTTACGCTAAATGAACTTGTCTTTATCACACTACACGTGTTGATGTATGCAGAATATGGATGGCTACAGGAAGTTTTTCTACCAATTTTTAAACTTTCCTCCTCTTTATGACTTGTTTTCTTGTTTTTTAATACTAATCCAATTAAATCTATCGATCTTTTCACTATAATCTTATCAAATTTGCATACAATACTCGACCTTTTTATGATTAAACTACGCAGAATGTGTCCACTCTATAAGACTAAAGATGAAATTTAGCATCTCGGGTATCGTCATAATACATATATATATATATATATATATATATTATATATATATTTTTTTTTTAACGCAGATGGAAAGACAAATCAAGAATGTTCAAAGAACAGTAAATCCGAGGAGGAGATGGGCAAAAAAAAGCACAGAAGGAACAGAACAACCTTCACTACCTACCAATTACATGAACTGGAAAGAGCTTTCGAGAAATCTCACTATCCGGATGTCTACTGCAGAGAAGAGCTGGCTATTAAAGTCAATTTACCAGAAGTTCGCGTACAGGTAAGCAAAAATGTACAATTTTTATATATTTCTCATTAAAAAGTAATTTTTTTTTTATAATATAGGCCTATATTTTAGAAGAGTACTTAATCCGGTCATATGATTAAAAATTGATAAGATCATCAAGAATTATCTTAGTTTTAAACGTTGTTTACTACCTTAAATAAAGGAATCAAAAATATATATTTATCTAGCCAACAATTTAGTAATTTTCTTAAAAATTATTTAAATTTCTAATGTAAAAAAAATTAATTTTACGTTAAAAATTACCGCGCCTAAAAGCCAAATCTCACACGATTTAACCATTCCGATGTACTGAAAAATAATAATTTCTTTAGGTTTGGTTTCAGAATCGTCGAGCTAAATGGAGGAGACAAGAAAAACTCGACAGTCAAACGTCATTGAGATCGATTAACCTAAATAATCATTGTCACAGTAGCTCCATTCAGCCCTATCTTTTAGAGAACTGGACATCCCCCACATTGTCTCTACCCGGTTATTTCAACCAGCAGAAATCTCTCTACACCAACTATTTTCCCGCACCCCTCAACTTATCGGTACGTAGTGACAAGACGGAAGATAGCAGAAACTCCAGCATCGTAGCCTTGAGAATTAAGGCTAAAGAACATTTGGAATTAATCAACAAAGGGATTAAACCTTTATAAAAGCCAAACGTTTAACGTGTTTACTGTGCGACGAGCTTGGTTTTTTTAATCCATCTCTCAGGAATATTTGTACATTAAACATACTTAACTTTCACTTCTTCCTCCCCCTTTAGAGCTAGTTACAGACGCCAATCGATGTACTGTACACACGAACAGCCTCTTTTTTTTTTTAAATTTTCGGGTATAACACACTAAAATTCACCCTACGAATTGATCTGTACAGCTTTTTGTATATAGGAAAGAACGTAGATCAAAGGCTTGCGTAAGATGGATCCCGTTAATGAAGGCTAGACAACACTAGTTAAGTTTTGTGACGTATAATGCGGATCTCGTTACGTGGCGATGACGTGGATCGACTGCCGATGTGTGACGCAATTTTACGTTACGTGGATGAGTCGGGATCGTACGTTACGTGTACATACATCCACGAGAAGATATAAAGTCTATTTATACGTGTAGCTTCGTGTTTTATGTGTTGGAAAGGATGAATCGATTTGTAAGTGCCGTGATCCATGTAGCTGTAGTAATTTATGTTTAGATTGCCTTGTCAAATTTTGGAGGCAAGCTCGAATGATTTCTCGATGAGGCAGATAGAATTTTAAACTCCTAACCCACCACAAAAGGAGCAAAAATAATGATGTATAGAAGATATGCTAAATAATGTAAACAATGGTTAAGGTGTGTTTACATCAGGGTGATATTCGAGTCTCGAAGTTAAAATTGAATAAGTTTCTCGCGTAAATTACGTGCTTAATTCGTATCGATTGACGTCAAATATTGATTTGTTTGTTTGTTTTTTTTTTTTAATTTCGAAATTTATATGATAAGAGATGGCAGCACTGCGTTGAGTAACTTGTTAAAAGGATGCGTTAAATGATAAAATTTCCTCCATTTTTTACAATTATTTTCTGGAAAATTTATAAAGAAAGAAAAAATATATATATTAATGTTATGAAAATGTTTTTCTTCGAATGAAATTTTAATTTATTGTGCTATTAACGATTAATAAAAGTGAAAAAGTCTTTTCTTTTTGTTTTCTTTTTCCTTTTTGATACTTTATCTGCCATTTGTACCTTATATAAGTTACACTTACCTCAACCACTGAAAAAAGTGAGGTAGAACCAGGACTAGTTACAAACTTAGAGCCTCAATTCCTCCCAAAAGACGTAAAAATATATAAATAAAATAGATTTATCAAGAAATTTCAATTTATTTAGCGCCTTTTACATAAAAAAAAGAACTGTTTTGAGGCCCTGTAGATACGAGTTTAGGCCAGATCTATAGGAGTCTAGAATGCAAACTTCCTACGTGCGTATGTATAGGGGCCTAGAACGTAGGCTCCTACACACATGTAAAGCATAAAAATACGTACATTTATACTCTAAAATTTGATATAATTAAAATTTTATACAATTTCATATGAACATTTTAAAAATGAATCACTTTCTGTCGAATTATTTCAATAAAATTTAAAAAATATGATAGAAAAAATAGAAATTAAATTAGGTTTAAATTAGCTTAAGCTACATTTTCCATAAAAATTTATCTAAAATCAATATAAAATCAGCGAATTAAGTTTGAAAAAAGACCATTTTAATTCGTGGAAATGCTTCAGATTTGCTGCCAACACTATAAATAAAATACCATTTATTATTAATTACACACCAAAAAATGAAATTAGGTCATAAAAATGGGGAAATATTTATCAATAGAAGTGTCTGAATTTTATTTAAATTATTAAAAACCTTACGAAAAGAAAATTCATTTCAACTGATGATCTCTTTAGATAATGGCATCCTTCAAAAAATGTTTTTTCTTCTATGAATTANGAAGTTTTTCTGTTTTTTTTTTTCTTTTTCTATTTTAATAGATCAAGTGTTTTATTTCAAAAAAAAACCATGTTTTAAATGTTTTAAATCCGATGCCTATGTTTTAAAACATGTTTAATAAATGTTTTAAAACATTTTTTTAAAATCATGCCAACCCTGCTTATACGTTATAAATTTAAATTCAGGTCGGCTCTAGCATATTAATGATAATTTGAAATATATGTATGCCTCGTGACATTTTAACAGTTCAGAAAAACTGAGGAAAATTTTAATAAAAATCCTTTAATATATGTTCATATTTCAACGCGCATTTAGTTCGAATTGCGTTTATCTAATCGATAAAACTTCACTTTATTACAGTTTATCGTACGTACGGACGACGGGATTGGTGGAAACGGCGTTACGTCACCGGCGAGAACCAATGGCGGTAGAGGGATGAGCGAGGGAAGTTAGAGACCAAAAGGTTATTGAAGACAGCTGTGCAGAAATGTGCCACATGCGGACTTAATGGCCAGTTGTCAAACATCAGAAAAGCCCATTCCCTCTCATTCTATCGACGTCATATTGGGATTGAGGAAATGTTCAAACGATTATGAATATATTTCCGGTACAGGTGAGTCGATGTTTCCGTTTCCGGATAGATTTTTTAACCTTTTTAAGGTCATCGAAACGTCCCATAACGTAAATATTTCCATCGTTTACGTAAATTTACACTCGAAATCGGTCACGGTAAACTTTGGAGTGCATTTTACGTGCGCAACATCCGAAATTCGTTAGTTTATCATAGATCCATCCATAGGGATAACCGAGATCACTCATCCTTCAAATTGATTTAAATTATTAAAAACCTTACGAAAAGAAAATTCATTTCAACTGATGATCTCTTTAGATAATGGCATCCTTCAAAAAATGTTTTTTCTTCTATGAATTAATTACGATTTTTGCTCGTGCTTGGGAATTTTGGGCTCAAGTTATATATTTATTATGAATAATATTAACTTAAGTTAATGCTGCTGCAACGAGAAAAACTCCCATAATTATAGGGGGAGAGTAGCAAACATTCTTTTATTGTTGTATTGTATTGTCAATCATTTTCATCCCTGACAATCATCGATAGTAAGCGAGTTTACAGATATTTTTCCTATTCTATATTTTTGACTTTTTGTTTTGTACCAGGAAAAGGTAGCCATATTGAAGAATGCTTTCTTATACAAGCGTGTCATTCCTCTCTTCACTGACAACACAACTTATTGTTCGTCCCCCCTTACGACAAAACGTTCACCTTAGTTAATATCTTAAGTAGAATTTAATTCGCTCTTCACTTAAATTAAGGACTTTTAAGCTTTTTACGCTCTTAAACGATATTTAAATAATTAATTATACTGTATATGAAATTTGTATTTAGAAACAAAAAATTGAAAATTAAAGCCAAGGATTCTAAATAAATTCTTCCTTTATAGGGAGGGCCGTAGCATACACCATCATTTTCGATAGCTAATTTTATACTGTTTACCTCGTCTTTTAAGTCGTTTTAAAGGCCTCGATTTCCATTAAGTCTACTCAACCACGTTGAAAAATTTAAAATTTATTGATTCGCATATACATTCTTGAGTTTACGTGAAACCATTTAGGCATATACACTTACAATTATCATCATTCTACTTCCGCGATGATGTGCTGATAAGTAACACGACATTTCAATGGGATCATCCGTGTGAATGATTTTTAACACGCTTTAACACAGAAGAATGAGACGTAGGAAAATTTTTAATTTTCTCTTATTTATATGAATGTGATATTGCTTTTAAATGCTATAAATTATTAATTTACATTAGGCCTATATCACTTATTCATTGGTATGTTTAATGAATTAACTACATTGCTGTGTTTATGGACTGTAAGCTACATTGCTGTGTTTATGGACTGTAGCTGTACCTATATGTAAGCTACATTTTAAGGCCTAACGATACGAGGCTTGGAGCTTTTAAATTTATTATTCGGTAAAAGAGGAAGGGTCTCTTATACGCAGGGTTGGAAAATTTATGTTTTCTTTTTTGAAATAAAACAATAATACACGTTTTATTTAGAAACCTTTGTTTTTTTGTTTTAAAACAGTTTTATATTACATTATAAAATACTGTTTTAAAACAATGTTTTAAATTTAAAAAATAATGTGTTATTACATTAATTTAGTAAATAAATAAACTTTTTCTGACTTGTGAGCTAAACGTGAGCGTAGGAATGGGAAATTTTTCTCACTATCATGGGTCATGAAAGCACGTGACATGTGACTTTTATCACTAAGAGGAGATTTCCTGATAGCACATGCCAGTTAATACTGTTAGCAATACAGCTAATGTAATATTACTTAGATGGAAAAAGACATTATTATTATCATCGTTACTTGTTAAGTAAAAAAATGAGTGCAGAAAGAAGGCTTGATAATGTCTGGAACCAGTACAAACTAATTTCTGGAAATCCAGGAAAAACCAGCATGCAGATGCAATTCAAAATACAGTACAGTATGTAGGAAAGAAATGGTTGGATTAGTCGCTAGTATGAAAAAATATATTGAAGATAACCATCTACAGAATGATATAAAGGAATTGCAACAGCTGGGTGAGTATTTTGAACCATTATAAGTTTAAAATTTTCTATATCTTGCTATAAAGTTTTCCTGGGTCATAACTCAATTGAATCTATATAGATATTCTTTAGTTCTTCGCCCGAGTAATCTCCATAGCGTTACGAAAAAAACGGTCTTTTTCCAAAAATGTATGGGATAATACATATACATTGTTATCTAGGATTTATGAAAATTTTATTAATTACTTTTGCAGCGAAAGTTTTTTATAACATTACTTTTATAGTGTTCAAAATGACTTGCAACAACTTGGGATCACTAGAGTCATGCAAGCAGACAAAGAAAGATTTGATATGGCTATCATAAACTATCACCTTTTAGCAAATCTTCTGGACCCAATATACCAGAGTGCAAAGCTCACAGACAAGGCCGGATTAACCCACTTTGGGGCCCTAGACACTTTCTTTTTACTGGGCCCCCTCCCTCTCACACAAGAAATAGAGCACACACATAATATAAAACAATAAATAAAGCAAAACTAAATAATGTGAAAAACTAAAACAAATCTTAATTTTTTATTAATAAGAAATGTTTAATCGCTGTAAAAAAATTAAATTATCTGAAGAATCTTATTTACAAATGTTTTCAAAATAAACAGTTTGACCGGGATCTTCTAAAAACTGGGCCCTAGACATTTGTCTCATTAGTCTATGCGATGATCCGGCCATGATCCGGCCCTGAGTATGAAGGATGCTGCACTAACTCTGTGCCGCGCTTACTACTGCTAGTCTGTTTTAAAATACTTACATATTTTAAAACATACACTATGCCTTCAGTTTTAAAATACTTGGCAAAATCTAGCCCATTTCTGCAACACATGTTTGCAGAGTTTGTGTTAACTAATATCACTCCTCTTACATGGTGGCAGTCATTTCGTGACAGAATTAATGAAGCTGTTTTAAAATTATTTATACGGCTGCACACAGCAGTAGCTTCTTCAGCGAGAATTGAAAGAATTTTCTCTACCTATGGACTTGTTCATTCAAAATTTAGAAATCGACTTGGACAGGAAAAGGCAGCATAGCTTGTTAAACTTTTCAAGCAATAAACAAACACTACTGAGCGTTGTACATTTCTGAAAATAAGAAATTCTTCAAGTTGCAGAAGCCATTGCTGTCAATCCTGTTTTGGTATTTGTACATGCAAATCTTAAAAATGCCATTGCATAAAGAAACATTTAAAAATGCTATATTTTATATTAAATAAAACATTCTGTACATTCTTGATTCTTACACTGAAGTTTTTCTGTTTTTTTTTTTCTTTTTCTATTTTAATAGATCAAGTGTTTTATTTACAAAAAAAACCATGTTTTAAATGTTTTAAATCCGATGCCTATGTTTTAAAACATGTTTAATAAATGTTTTAAAACATTTTTTTAAAATCATGCCAACCCTGCTTATACGTTATAAATTTAAATTCAGGTCGGCTCTAGCATATTAATGATAATTTGAAATATATGTATGCCTCGTGACATTTTAACAGTTCAGAAAAACTGAGGAAAATTTTAATAAAAATCCTTTAATATATGTATATATATAGGCCTATATATATATATATATATATGATTCTGTTCCCCGTGGGAGATTTTTTTCAGACTTGCCACGCCACAATGGGGCTCGCCAATGATCCTAGTCTGGGCTCCACTGTAGGATGTAGGAGCCATGATCTCTATCGATATAAAAAAATAATTACACTCATATTATTGTAAATTTAAACAAAATTAACTATTTTAAAAACACCATAAAAAATATATTTAGATAACTTACATTTTTCTTGGTGTACGTAACTTTTCAATACGATCTAATAGTAAAAAGGTGTTATAATTTTCATTAAAAAATAGTTAATATTTTTTAAAAACAGACTAGAAATTCATAATGTCAAGGTCTGTTAATAAAGAAAACACGCAAGCATTTTATTTCCTCAAAAAATATCCATTTTTTCCACATTTTTAATCTGCGCACGTTAACGTGGAAAGGGATAAAGGCAGAGAACACGTCTGTGACAAAGACATTTTTCTTTACTTTTATAAAAAAAAAAAAAAAAAAAAATTATATATTCAAACGATCGAAAAATAATAGATTTAAAACGAAATGTAACCTAAACTCGATCCACTTTTCTTTATATATTTTTTTAATTTCTCTCAGTTCGTTGACTTTATTTTTGTCACTAGAAATGTGACTATTGTGTATCCGCTCGAGTAGTTGTCCTTGGAATTACCCGTTACTTCGTCCATTTCGCTTGTACAAATTCATCATCGTGTGAGAATAGAAAATTTTATCATATATATAAGGTTTTACATCAATGAATAAAGTACATTTCGCTTAATTTTTTCGGGTTTTACATCCTCTAAAAGTTAGCGCGATTTAGAAGTTTCCGATTGAAACACTGAATATTCCATGTGGTTTTTATTAAAAAACATTTTAAAATAAATTTTTCCTTATTTCGTTTTTAACTGAATTTTCCCTTTTCCTTTCTTACGCGATTATTTCCTTATTTTTTAAAATATTTTCTATCAGCCGAGTCTAAGTTTCGTTCGAAATTCTCGATTTCTACTGTTATAGCCTATAACTATAGAAAATGGCTATTAAATGAAGTTTGTTATAATCCGTATAAAATGATGTTTTTTTTTTAAAGATTTAATATTCGAATTTTTAAAATATTTAAGCAGTTCTGTTGATTTACTTTAGATTATGTGCGGGATAAAGGTTTAAACTATCAGCACCGAGGCTGGACACTGTTGTGGCCTTAAGCTGTAACGTATAACAGGCCCTTTCTTCGCCAAATAATGATTACGTGTAAAATATGCGAGGCCTCACGCTGTAGACTGGTAGAGCGAGGCCTTATTTATCTTACATGCAAATCCATCCCTAACCAACACAGAAATTCGCCATTTTAAAGCAATTTATTGCCATTTATTACTCTGGATAATTTTCGTGAGTAAAATTAGGGAAAAAAGATGACAATTTTAA